AAAAAAAAAAAAAAAGACCAGCCTGAGCAAGAATGAGATCCCCATCCCCAAAAAATAAAAAATAAAAAGGGCCATCTGTTTATTCAGTCTCCTGATTCGAGTGTTATTCTCATCCTAAAACATCCTCCCAGACACAGCGAGAGTAACATTTGACCAAGTATCTGCCCATCCCACGGCCCAGTCAAATGGACACATAAAATTAACCGTCACGGGCTGGGGCGGTGGGCTCACGCTGCTAATCTATCGCTCTGGAGGAGCGAGGCGGGAGGATCGCTCAAGGTCAGGAGTTCGAGACCAGCCTGAGCAAGAGCGAGACCCGTCTCTATATAAATAAAGAACTAATTGGCCAACTAAAAATATATATATGAAAAAAATAGCGGGCATGGGTTGCGCATGCCTGTAGTCCCAGTATACTCGGGAGGCTGAGCAGGAGGATCGCTTGGAGCCCAGAGTTGGAGGTTGCTGTGAGCGAGGCTGCACGCCGGCATCACTCTAGCCTGGGCAACGAAGTGAGGATCTGTCGCAAAAAAAAAAAAAAAAAAAAAAAAAGTAACCATCATAAACATGTGACTACATATGACATATAGTATTGCAGTGGGGGGACGAAATGAAAGCTAAAACAGACGAGTTAGTGGCTTCCGCGATGACCAATTCTCTACGAAGGTGCAAGAAGAAAAACCGTCTTATCCGACCAGCCTGGCTCCAGAGAGTGGCCACCTCAAGCGGATCCACCCGAACCGAGGATGAGGTCCCCTCCCTCCCGGCAGGGCGGCGAGACAGAGTTGGGGGGGGGGTCCCGCTCGACAACCGAAGCTTAATATTGAGAACGTAACACGCGGCCCAGGCGGAGACGGAGAGGCTGGGGATGAAAGTTCTCATATGGAGTTTACTCGAAGGTTCCAAGTGTGAACTGGGGCAGGCAAGACAGAGTCTTCCAGAAACCAGCCAAAGGGAAAAGCAACGCTTGCCGGTGGCTGGGCGGGCAGATGGGTGGGGAGCCGGGGGGGTGCCCACTTCTATTTATGTCACCGGCTCTCAGACACCGGCACGCCGTGTGCCGACTGTGTTCCCGGTGCTCTCTGGGACACATTTTTTGAAGTGGGGAAACTCGAAACTGCTGCTCGATTTCCTTTGCACGCTTCCCAAACCGCGGTTGGGTTTGCAGATTTTCCTTTGCAAAGAGAAGACCTAAAATAGCGGCAGGGCTGTGAAAGTTAGTGAGATGCCCGTTCTTCCTGGCTCACTGGAATAGCCAGTGTAGACACCGTTAAAGGCTGTCAGCGATGATCCCTGCAACAGAAACGGATTGCTCCCGGATTGCTGCAGAGGACGGATTCGCTTTATCTGAAGAGTAAACAGCATTAGTACATATCTTTCTAGTAAATAGACTTTTTTTTTTTTTTTTGAGACACAGTCTCACTGTGTTGCCCGAGCTAGAGTTCTGTGGCGTCAGCCTCGCTCACAGCAACCTCCAACTCCTGGGCTCAAGCGATCCTCCTGCCTCAGCCTCCTCCCAGGTAGCTGGGACTACAGACACGCACCACCACGCCTGGCTCATTTTTTCTGTATATTTTTAAGTCGTCCAGCTAATTTTTCTTATTTTTTTAGTAGAGATGGGGGTCTCGCTCTTGCTCAGGCTGGTCTTGGCGTCAGCCTCACTCACAGCAACCTCCAACTCCTGGGCTCAAGCGATCCTCCTGCCTCAGCCTCCTCCGAGTAGCTGGGACTACAGGCATGCGCCACCTACCGTGCCCAGCTAATTTTTTTCTATATATTTTTTAGTTGTCCCAGCTTAATTTCTTTTATTTCAAAGACCTGTGGAGAACGCAGCAGGAACCCGTGGCCTCAGACTGAACTCGGAGGCGTCAGGGCGGGGCTGGGACATGCCGCAGCGCACGCACACATGTCCCCAGCCTGCGTGCTCAGGGGCTCCTGACCCGCCGCTCCCAGGCAGCCGAGAGGGAACGCACACACGGAGACTGCGGCTTCCAAATCTGATGAGCCGCTCAGAGTAATCACGGCTCCTCGGAGAAGGGCCGGGGGACAGGGACGGCGCCGTGCAAGCTGGAGCATCTGCAGCGTCAGAAGAGCAGTGAGTTCCCAAAGAACGACGGGGACATGTCCAGATGACACAGCCGTCTGACCTCCTGCCCGGGTCGGGGCCGATTTCCACATTGACGGAGAGTCTCGGTCTCCCAGCTGCCGCGTTGATAATGGATTCGGGGGGAAACCATCAGGGGGCACTGAAACTAGTAGATAAAAGTGGGATGAGAATGGGAGATATATGTCTATAAAAATATATACTAAATATAAATATATATTATATATTATATGTTTATATTTAGTATAAATATTTATATTTATATTATATATTTATATATATATCTTAGTCTTAATCCATCTCCCCTCAACATGCTCACCATACCGAGAAGCACGGTGTCCTTACAGGGGAGCAGCTGGTGGATTTCATCCTAACCGTGTGATTAAAGGCGATTGCACCGAGAATGGGACAGAAGGGCGTCATCTGTTTCCTGATACGATTCGCTACGAATGTAGAATCACTTCTCGGGGACTTTGCAAAAGATGCATTGCTCGAACCTAATCGAGAGCAAGAATGCCACGAAGCCAAAGGGAGGGACATTCTGCAAAATAACTGGCCGTGTACTCTTCTTCGGAAATGTCAAGGTTAAGGAAGACGAAGGCCGAGGAACAGTTTTCTAATTAAAGGAGGCTCAGGTGACAACGTGACAGCTCAGGTTGGGGGTTGGAAAGGCAATGTCCCGTTATTGGGACATTGGCAGAATTTGAATATAGTTTGCGCATTGCATAACGGCATTCCGTCATCAAATCTTTCCGGTTTTAATCGTGCAACCTAATGCCTTTGTTTTTAGGACAGACACGCACTGAAGTGTTTAGGGGTAAGTGGGCACCGTGTCAGCCCCAGCGGACTTTCCGACGGGTCAGAAGGGCGTAGGAAAGAGAGTGAGGGGTCAAGCGGGCGGGGCCGGGGACCGGGTGAAGAGTCTCGTATCGGTTTGCTGTTGCTGCTGTGACGTGCACCACGGTTGGGCAGCTTGTTTCTGTAGGTGGGAGGCTGGCACAGGAGGCTGGATTCTCTGCTCGGGGGTCTCACCGCCGGGCTACAATCCAGATAATCAGCAGGATTTGTTCCTTTATGGAGGCTCTGGAGAAGGGTCAGCTTCCCGGCTCCCAGGCTGTTGGTGGCCTCCAGTTCCTTGCTGTCGTAGGACCGAGGTCTCTGTCTCCTTGACCCGTGGCCTCCTCGACCTCCATCTTCAAGCCAGCAGTGGCACCAAGAGCCTCCTGCGCCAAGCTTTGACTGCCTCGGGCTTGTGTGATCCCACTGGGTCCCACTTGGAGAATCCAGGTTATGTTCCCTCTATTAAATCAACCAGTCAGCCGGGCGCGGTGGCTCACCTCTCATCCCAGCACTCTGGAGGCCGAGGGGCGGGAGGATCGCTCAAGGTCAGGAGTTCGAGAAACCAGCCTGAGCAAGAGCGAGACCCCCGTCTCTACCAAAAATAGAAAGAAATGAATTGGCCAACTAAAAATATATATAGAGAAAAAAATGAGCCGGGCATGGTGGCGCATGCCTGTAGTCCCAGCTACTTGGGAGGGGAGGCTGAGGCAGGAGGATCACTTGAGCCCAGGAGTTTGAGGTTGCTGTGAGCGAGGCTGACGCCACGGCACTCACTCTAGCCCGGGCGACACAGTGAGACTCTGTCTCAAAAAATAAATAAATAAATAAAATAAAATCAACCGATTAATCTCAATTACACCTGCAAGATTTCTTTTACCACGCAGTTAAGGTCACGTAGCCCTGGCTGTGACTCCCAGGGGTTGGGGCTCGAGTTGACCACGGGTCACGGGAGTGTCCCGCGCTGCACTTTCTCGCCACCTTTCACGGAGATCTGAAATCCAGCACCCAAATAAAAAGCCTCGACGGCTCTCGTGTGTGCGTGCGCTCATTCGTGCAGGCGCCGGGGGGCTGCGGTCCCAGCGCAGCCGTGTTGGCACGTGTGGCCGTTCCGTTTCCTCCTAACGGCCCCGCGTCTGTTTCTCTCCCCCGTCACCCCCCAGGCCACCGCCAGGTCCAGCAGGGCAGGTGCGAGGTGGTCGCCGTGCACAGGTGCTGCAACAGGAACCGCATCGAGGAGCGGTCGCAGACGGTCAAGTGCTCCTGCTTCCCGGGACAGGTGGCCGGCACGACGCGGGCCCAGCCTTCCTGCGTGGAAGGTAAGGCCTGCGCTCAGCGACTCCGGTGTGCGCGGGGGCCCGGGGCGGCCGAGGCCCTCCCTGCTGCGCTGCTTTTGCAACCTCGGTGCCCGGGTTGCTTCTCGAGATCTGTGCGGTTCCGGAAGGGAACGTAAACACAACTTCCGAAATTTTCTTTATGAGCGAGTCTTTAATGATGTCCAGGGGTGCCAGTGGGGGGTTGCACCATAGGACACTTGGGAATCCCTTTTTTTCTTTTTTTTTTGAGGCAGAGTCTCACTGTGTCGCCCGCGGCTTAGAGTGAGGCCGTGGGGTCAGCTTTGCCCTCCCAGCCAACTAGCCTCCTGGGCTCAAGCGATCCTCCTGCCTCAGCCTCCTCCTGAGTAGCTGGGACTACAGGCATGCGCCACTGTGCCCGGCTGATGTTTTCTATATATTTTCAGTTGTCCAGCCAATTTCTTTCTATTTTTTAATAGAGACGGGGGTCTCACTCTTGCTCAGTCTGGTCTCCAACTCCCGAGCTCAAATGATCCTCCCGCCTCGGCCTCCCAGAGCGCCAGGATGACAGGCGTGAGCCACCGAGCCTGGCTGCTTTTAATTTTATATATGAGCAAAATCCCCTTGTTTTTTTTTTTTTTTTGGCCCCTGCCCTGGTAGTAGTAACTGTGAATTCCTCTTTTTGGTTGCTATATGTTTCTGTATGCGTATATATATATTTGGAGATGGGTCTGGAGAAAACACTGGCAAATTTTAACATGCACCCACACATGCTTAACTCTAGATCTTACTGTACAGTCAACGGTGGCAGCTGACTTGCCTGCGTCCTGCCTATACAACCAAACACACACAGCCAGACACAGATGTGGGCTGAGTGGCCGCACTGGCCTCTATCAGCACCGTCTCAGCCACCTCGAAAGCAGGAAAAGTGTAAGCAAGAAAATCTCCCATCTACACTTCCTGGTCAGAAACCCTGGGGCGAAACAGGTTGCTGGATTCAGATTTTACGTGGGCAGTGCACAGGCACCTGCCGAGCAAGCCTAACCTGTTCGCCACTCGGACCCGTCATCGTAGAGGCTGATATTTGTGCAGCGAGGTGTGCAAATATTCGTGCAGAACGGGATGGGGCAACACAGAGCATCTCAGGTTAATTCGTGTCGGGCTTTGCTGTCATCTTACAGAAAAACCTTTCCGTTTTCTGAGCTTTTTGGGTTTGGGGAATTTTTTTTTTTTTTTTTTTGGGATTTGGGGATTATGGATGAATGATGATGAAGATGATGAAGATCTTTAACATTAAAAAATAGTGGCATTTGAAAGAAAGGCGCCAAGGGCCAATACCCCCAGTATGTAGCGTATTCATCTGCGGCATTAACGGAATCCGAATCGAACCCATCCCGTCATTTTCCCCCGTTCCCAGCGCCACCTCCGCGGCAGGGGAGCCAACACGACGTCTTGCTGAGCTCGCTGCCTCTAGCCTTCCATTTCCACCCTCTAGCCAGAATGATCCTTCTGCAGGAAAACGGGACTAACCGATCGGGCCACTCTCAGGCGGGAGTTTGGAGGTTGCTGTGGCGAGGTGAGCACGGCACTCACTTCTAGCCTGGGGGACAGGAGCAAGACCCTGCTCAAAACAAAAAACACAAACAAAACACCCATGATGTCAACAACAGCAGCAACTCTTTCCTGTTAGTATAGAAACAGTTGAGGGTAAGGACTGGGCTCTAATTTCGCCTACCCACCCACCCATCTGGCCGCATGAACGAGTCTTGCAACAGAGGGCGGTGACTCATCTTTGCTAATCACAGCTTGCTCTCTGAAGATAACAACTGTGGCTGCTCCATACTTAGGCTTTAAGGAACTTGTGATTCATAACACAGCTATTTTTATACTCTTGCCTAGACTCTTTGCATATAAAAAGGCTTAAATATAAATAACGTTTTACAATATCCAAAGCCCTTTTATCAGTACCTGAAAAGCACTGATCGGGTAGTGACGACCATTAGCATCTTCATCTTAGTAAAGAAACTATAAGCTCTCTGGGAGGCCGAGGCGGGCGGATCACTTGAGCTCAGGAGCTCGAAACCAGCCTGAGCAGGAGCGAGACCCGTCTTCTATAAATAGAAAGAAATTATTGGTCAACTAATATATATTAGAAAAAATTAGCCGGGCGTGTGGTGCATGCCTGTAGTCCCAGCTACTCGGAGGCTGAGGCAGGAGGGATTGTTGAGCCCAGGAGATTGAGTTGCTGTGAGCGAGCTTACACCATTCGACTCACTCTAGCCTGGCAACAGAGTGAGACTCTGTCTCAAAAAAAAAACAAAACCAAAAAAACAAACTATGAATACCTTATTCTAAACTAGCTTGCTTTTAATTTAATTTAATTTACTTTTATTTAATTTTATTTTTTTGAGACGAGGTCTCGCTTTGTTGCCCAGGCTAGAGTGAGTGCCGTGGCATCCAGCCTCGCTCACAGCAACCTCAGACTCCTGGCTCAAGCGATCCTCTGCCTCGAGCTTCCAGTAGCTGGGACTACAGGCAATGCGCACATGCCGCTAATTTTTTTTTCTATATATATTAGTTGGCTAATTAATTTCTTTCATATTTTTAGTAGAGACGCGGTCTCGCTCTTGCTCAGGCTGGTCTTGAACTCCTGACCTTGAGCGATCCTCCCGCCTCGGCCTCCCAGAGTGCTAGGATGACAGGCGTGAGCCACGGCGCCCGGGCGCTTTAAATTTTATATACGAGCAAAATCCCTTTTTTTTGGCCACTGCCCTGGTAGTAGTAACCGAATTCCTCTTTTTTGGTTGATCTATGTTTCTGTATGCGTATATAT